GCTACAACAGGAACTTAGGTATAGTTTGAGTAGACGAATGCGCATTGTTAACGGACGAATTTGAGTTTATTTTTTAGTGGAAGAGCAGGATACTCGGACCAAATTATTACGCCTCAGCCTTAAAAACCTATATATTCGAGAGGACTTTGAAAGACCCTCATATTATTGTATAATATTTTCTTATTTATAAGTGCTTTCTACTCTCTAGCTAATTTTAACTATATTTATATTGTCTGTAATGTATTTATTAGGCTATTATTACATTATACAAAATAGACTTTTGACTTATTAAACTTTCAAATTTCTAATCCACTGTATTATGCCAAGTCACATAACTATAGGTAATCCAGATCATCTCACTTATTTTTTTTTACTAATAATATTTTTTTTAACAATATTACTATCCAAAAACTTTAGTTTTTTTTTATTGTTTTTTTACTCTTTGAAATAATTTCTTATATTTTTTCCAGTAAATATAAAAAAACCTAGCTACAAATTAAAAAGCAAAGCACTTTATTAATGTAAAAAAAATTTTTTTTCTAAAAAAAAAACTACTAGGTTTATGAAATTTTTTATATTTTTTTTATATTTTTTTATATTATTTTATATATATTGTTAGCAGGGAAAAATGGGTGGGATAATTTGGATTACTGATAATCATGTGATTTGGCATAATGCAGTGGATCAGGAAACTAGAAAGTTTAATAAGTCTAAAATCTATTTTGTATAATGCGACAGTAGTTTAGTAGATACATCGCAACCAATATAAATATAGCTAGAATCAGCTAGAGTAAAAAAGAGTAATAGATACAAGATAACATGATACAATAAATATAATTACTTATTAAATACCATTTGTACCTGTAATATAATAATTAATATACTTACCTTTAGAGAATTATTGATCGTTAAAGGATTCTAAGAAATATATAAAGGAATTGTAATAGAGGATTAGCCTGGCAATACAAAATAAAGAAGGCTACCTTTGATTAAGCAAGTGATTCCTAACTCCTATCTTTATTATTATATAAGCCTTAGCTTCAGATTAGTAACAGACTTGCTGTATATCGATAACAATATATACTTTTTTTAATTTTTTAAAAAATTTTATTTATTTTAGTTTAATCTTAAATTTTTAAATAACATTTGATTAAAAATTAGAATTAATTAATTAATATATAACAAAAAATATAAATAATATATATAATGAGATACTTTATCCCGCAAATCCTAAAATTCTTAAAAATTTCCTTTTTTAGTAAAAACACAAAAAACTCCAAGAAACACCAAAGGAAACACCCAAAGAAAACTTTCACCAAGAAGAAGCACTCTACTGGTTTCTTCCAAACCAAAGCAGGATACAATAAACAGGTATAACTGAACTTAAAAGAATACTAACTCTTTCTTTTATTTTCAAAACAAGTAGATATATACTTGTTTTTTCTTACTGGGAAAGAAGGAAAAACAAGGAAAACAATTCACAGTTAAATTAAAGAGAAAGTCAGCACCGCACTTCCCAAGCTACCAGCCAGTCGTGTACCAGGTTAGATACCTCCTCTAGTCACTAGTAGGGTCTTGTATCAGCCAGATCACACCCGGTAAACCAGGCAACCTCGCCACTGACACAAAACCAGAAGGGTACCAAGACTTTCTCAAACACTGTGGTTAGAAGAAAACAATAGATCTAGAAAATTTTACAATATAAAACAAGCGTTACGCGGATTAATCTACACTGGAACGGAAAAACCAAAACCAGTTTACCCCCATCAAAAGATCAGCAGTAACACGAACACCGAGCGCATTTCCCCACATTCAAAATAGGAAAACAAACACGTCTGTTTACAGAAGTCAAAATTAAGGTTTAACTATATTCCGCATCCAAAACAATAACAAATAAACAAACAGACGACAACTAAACCGGAAATAGACACGTGTCCTTTCGATTTCCCATAATCAAATTATAAGCAAAACGCGTCAACACCCAGTCAAGTAACACATAGAATCCATGGATCAACAACATCAACAACACGCGTCTGATACGCAATCAGAAACAAATATCCAACAACCAATAGAGAATCAGATCATCGAGTACTTAAGAACGTTGGATGATAATCACGACACTCATGATCAGCAATGGATCAAATCACTTCTTGAAGACAGTTACAACAACTCCTCTTCAGAACTCACAGAACTTGGGACAATAATAAATATCACAGTCTTAGACACAGTAGCAGCTAAACTACTCAATATCAACGCTTCAACAGCAGTAAAATGGGCACTTGTTAAAAAATACATAGAGCAAATTTGGGAACACAACAACCTCGAAGCTGAAATACTGAACAAATACATAATAGAGGATCCACAGCAGATTCAGCAAATACTGAATATCATCAAACCAGTAGAATCCCCTGGTCAACAAGAAGAACATCATGTTGAAGATCACACACATCCTCCACAAGAACACATGGAACCCAACAACACTGCGGCTATAACAACACAAAGTGAAGCCTCACAAATGGAAGAAGACCCCAAGGACGAGCCCACATTAACAAAAGAAGAAGTCCCTAGCCACTAGAAATGGAGATAGTATCAGAGTCTGAGAAAGAGGAGGAAAAAACACCAACCTATACACCACTAGGGAGCTGCATAACATCAGTTCAAAGCTATCACACAAGAAATAGGCAGTACACACCTACCAATCCTTTCTTCGTCAGCAAATCAGGTGGTTTTAAAATAGGAGCACTCGTAGCTAACATGCCAGGTGATTCCAAAGAAGAACAAATCAAATACATCGCCAACCTTCTCCGACTATCCAAGGACAAGCACGAACTTATCCAAACACCTTTTATAAATGGAAATAGATGGTACGCCATCCAATTCCAACTGGAAGAAGACATGGAAAGATGCCTAACTAAGCTTGGCAAAGGAAAAGAGGGCTTCAAGTTTATTATCCTGGATCAACCCAACAGTGCACCACCCATAGAAACAAGACATGAAAAATACACCCAAAAAAGTACTCCTGAATATAACAGATTTAACTTGTCAGAACATAACAGTCCATACCAACTAAGAATCAAATGCAGTACTATTCTTGGCAAAAATAGAGTAGAACAACTACAGAATCTTATCGAATTTCTCAAAGTTCCTATATCCCACAAAGGAATTCAAGTCAGGGCCATAGGAAAAAGCAAATGGACAGTCCTACACTTCCAAAAATCCAACAACATGCTGGAATGCAAGAAAAAACTCCTAACCCATCAACCCCAAACAACAATCCAAACCCTGCACGAAGAAGAATCAAGCAATATGACCTCCTCTGAAGACGAAAACCTTCCAGACACCACAAGGGATATGGAAAAGGTCATTATTATGGACATACCTTCTGACTTCTCAACCAAGAGACTCAAAGGTGCCATAGCCAAATATGGAACGATCTCCCATATACAGATGGAGAATGGCAACAATAACTTCAAGTTAGCAAGAGTTACATTCTCAACATTACAGATAAACCTAAAGGAAACATGAGCAATACCAATGGGAACAACAATAGCAAGAATCATACCATACCAAAACTATATCGAGACCCTGGCACGACGAAACGACATCACGACCAGGCTATATGGTATAAGCAAGCAAGCCTCAGCTACCAAAATAATGAGTGCAACCAAACACCTCAATGTCAAAACCGTACACATACCAACAAATAGCCAAACAGGGAGGAAAAGAAGCTTCGCCATTTTAGGATTTTTCAATACTGAAGACCTGAACAAAGCATTGAGATCCCACGTAGAACTATTTGGTAGCAAAACTTGGTGGAGTACAAAAGACAACACAAAGATCACTACCAAAGTAAACAACAAGGCTCGAGAAAGCAAACATACAAAACATACAAATTCCAGGAGGCCAGACATAGAGGAAGAAGACAATATGAGTATTATTTCGGAAGAGGAAGAACTCTCAGACATAGAAATGAAACAATCCAGCAAAAATAGGACATTCCACAAGAAACATACAAACAGAAAGCGTGACAGTAGCAAATCAAAAGAAGAAAACTCCTCCTGGCAACAGAAAAAGAAGTACTGGCAAGAATCAATGAGCGCCTATATAAGTTAGAAGAAGGTCATAATAGTAGGAAGAAATCCTACTATAGATCCTAAAAATAGACACACCAGTTGAAACCACAATCATTGCTGAAGAAAAAGATCCTTTCAACATACAACAAGTATCATCATCACAATCAACCTCTTCAGCAATATTGAGTAATACAGATGATACTACATATATAGATGAGTTCTTATCTAATCAAAAAACACTATTTCTAAACAAAAGCCAGGAAAGAAACCTTACACCAACAAATTCAAATAATCACAACTATCAAACACCATATATAACAATAGGTACACACAACATCAGAGGAATCAATCGAGAGACGGACCAAGCCAACCTAATAATGGAATTGCTGGAAAGGAAAATTGATATAATGGGCTTGTGTGAAACCAAACTTGCGAAAGAACATCAACACTTCGCCTTTGCAGACCAAAAACAATACAAGTGTTTCTCAAGCGCAGAACCAAACAACCCCAGGAGTGCAGGAGTTTCACTATTAATTTGCAAAAACATTGAAAAATACATAGCATCCGTAGATAAGATTGAAAGTCACTTAATAGCAATCAACCTCCTAAACAAAGGATATAAAACATGGATTGCGCAAATATACCTACCCAGTGACAAAAGACAAAGCCGTGCACTGCAGAAGAAAATACGAGATCTTCTGCAAATATACTCACGAAGAAACTATGAAATCATTATCATGGGTGACTTCAATGCCACAGTAAATCCCAGAACAGACCGTAAGTCACTAAACAGTACAACAGAATTTTCCAGATCAGACGACCCAGAAATCGAACTATTTGACTACATGACCAACTGGAATCTTTCAGACTTACAACAATTATGGGAACCAACTGAAACTTCACATACTTGGAAGAACAAATTAAGCTCTAGCAGGATCGACTACATTTGGGAATCTTATAGTATAGCAAATAACATGTTTCACTTTAGCAATACAGACTTTCGTTCAATAACTAATAGCGACCACACTGTGCTAACCCTCCAAATAGCACGAAGTACCATACTCAGAGACCATCAGATGGGAACAAGCATACCAAAACTACCTAGAGAAAAGATAATCAATATCAACAAAACAATAGACTCCCAATGGAAAAAGTACACACAAAAAGTTGATCAAAAACTTCAGCAAAGCAACATTTCACAACAGATCCAGACGATGAACTCGAATCAAATCAATGACAACAGACAAAATCAACTAATCCAAGAATCCTGGGAGCTGTTCGAAAAGGTCCTCATATCCACAGCTTTCAATCAGTTATACTGTGAGAAGAGGACAGCAAGAGAAGGAAACAAGTCTCAAAATAAAAGGAAAAATCATAGAGAACAGTTAGCCTTCTACAGCTACCGTTTGGTGAACAAGATACTCAACACCTGGACCAAACTAAAAGACCCTGGGGAGGGACCAGAGCTGAAACAAAAGCTATGGAAGGAACTTAAGAAAATCAATCAGAGCATTGCACCGGTAGCACCAGTTCTTAAATCTATACATAAGCTCACAACAATATTAGAGGAAGAAGAAAAAGAACACATATTGATATCCCAGCTTAGAGAAACAGCTACCTCTCTAAAAAAGATCTGCCTCAGCGAAGAAAGAAACCGAATAAACTCTGAAATCAAAGAAGCAATCCGAGAAAGATGTAGAAATCTCAAAGAAAACCAGAGAAAAGTAGTACAAGGATTGACAAATAACTTCAGAGACAAGATAGTCATAGACAGGATCCGGGTTCAAGATGATCAGGGAAGAGAGTATATGTCAATAGACAAAAAGAAAATCCTGCGTCAAACAGAGGCATATTATAGAGGTGCTTTTAAGAAGCGAAACAACAATTTTGAGCTGTTGGACGACAAATGGAAAGACCAGTATGCCCCTAAAGCTGAAATAAAGGAAGAATGGTACAAGAACACAAAGAATACCATTACTGAAACCAAACTGGAAAATGTTCTCATAGATCTTCCAAAGGACAAAGCAGCAGGACCCAACAAGATCAAATATGAAATGCTTAAAAACCTAGGAGCATTTGGAAGAAAAACTTTATGCCAACTCATGAACATATACTTAGCCCACAATATAATTCCCTCAACATGGAAGGAAAGTCTTCTTTATCCAATATCAAAGGGCAAAGAATGGCAGGGCATCCTAAGTAATACTAGACCAATAGTACTTTTAGACGTCTCCCGAAAATGTTTTACCAAGATCATCACCAACCGGATATCTACTGTTTGCAAGACACACAATATTCTAAAAGAACCCAACTTCGCAGGACTACCTGGAAAAAGCACGTCAGAGCCCATCCACCTGTTAAATAATATCTGCGAAGAAGCACGGGAGAAAAAGAAGGAATTATGGATCTTGTTCCAAGATACAGCAAAAGCATACGATACGATCAGTCTAGAAATGTTACAAAGAGCATTACAAAGAGTCAAGATCCCAGCTCAACTAGCAACACTAATCCTGGAACCATTCAAGGACAGATCTCTCCAAGTAATCACTGACGTGGGAATAACAAAAAAAATAATTGCCGGAGATGGAATAGACCAAGGAGAAACGATCTCCCCCCTCCTATGGCGTATCTTCTATGACCCTTTACTATGTGAAATCCAAGACGATACAAAACTAGGATATACTATGAATTGCAAATGGAAAAGCGACCTCAGCAAGGAAGATACCTTACAGCAAATCTCGGTTCGACAAGCTGCGATAGCATATATGGATGATACAACATGGATTGCCAGATCTGAAAAAGACATGGAAAATATATTAGAAAGAGCCAAGTGGTTCTATGCAGCAAATGACTCACAAATCAATGGCAACAAATCAGTCCTGATTACTATCAACAGTGGTAACAAAGGACCAAACTCTGTGAAGATTGGCCTGGACCAACAAGAAGTTATCGAGAACGATCGAAATAGCTTCACTCGCTTTCTAGTAAAAGACACACAAAAGATACGATATATAGACTCAAACAAGAAATTACAGCAGTTGCCTCCTGCCTCAAAAGAAAGAAAATTACAGACAAACACGCAGAATACATCATAAATAGAGTTCTAATCCCTAGAATAGAATACCGGATGCAACACTGCTTCTTAAACCAATACACTTGTAATAACCTTTCGACTCAGTTAAGAAGGGTCTTAAAACAGGCAGCAGGACTAGTTTCTACAATTCCCAACCCAACCATACACCACAAAAAAATCTATAACATCAAAAGTATCGAGGAAATCCAAGCAGAGAATCAGATTTCTAACTTAATGAACAGACTAAGCGATACAGGACCTGCCAGCTTATCCACCTTGATTCACCTTAAACAAGCACAGATCCAAAACTGGGAACCTATGAACATCCTAACCGACAAAATTCCGCGATCATTTAAATGCTCAAAAAACTTCTCAGCTCAGGTACTAAAACTGGCAAATAGGTTAGGAATCACAGTAGGCTCGTCTCGATGGGCAGAATACTTCGACTGGAAAGGAGGCTCAATTTCCATTAAAAATAAGCTTAACAACACGAATCTGTATCACAAGGCAATTCCATCATTACGAAAATACAAAATTATGTTTGTAGATCAGCTCATCGATAAAGACACCAAAACGATGCTCCCATGGAAAATTGTACAAACATTTGCTAACACTAGTAAAGGACCAGTGCCCCTATGGTTTAAAACATTAAAATCAACACTTGCCAATGACTACGATATTCTTAAGAAAGAATGGCAGGATTGGAACTGGGAAGATCAGGACAGAAAATTCTTCTCAGTTAGTCCAAATAAAGACCGTCGTCGCTGGAGTTGGAAAATCACACAAACCGAAGAGAAAAACAACCAGATCATTTGGTACAAAAGTAAAGGGGATTCAGACTATCAAACCCCTCAAGTAGAAATTTATAAGCTCAAGATAGGCTCCAGACCGAACTCAACAAAACTACAGAAGCTTACAAGTGCTCCACAAACAAGTTCCAATGGTTTGCAGGAAGACCTATTAAATAGAGTAAACGCTCCTGGAGGCAACAAAAGATCCAAAATCAAGCCCCTATCTGTGGAAATCCTGAACCAGTATCCAACTCTTAGAAGAGTACCAAAACCCAAAATTCCCCTCAGTATACATGTAATAAAGAATCAAGCTACAAAGAAATTGAAAAATCCTATGGAACGAGGGATTACCAACAACTGTCTGGTGGCAGTTGAGATAGAAGATTTCGGAGTCCAAGTGATTAAGGAGCACATTTTCTCTCCAGAATATTTAAAAGCCCTAATAGAAGAATATAAAATCAACAAAAACAGTAATTTTCAACAACTGTACTGCTTCTATACGGATGGATCACATGGAAAAGTCAGAGACCAAACAATAAGAATGGGGGCAGCTTGGCTACAAGAGAAAGGACCAAACCCAGGCAGTTCGTTTCAGGCAGGAGTGGATAACTGGCCATCAGCATTACGGGCAGAACTTGTTGCAATCATCCTAGTACTCCTTGTCCTTCCTCTAAAAAGTCAAGTAGAAATAAGAACAGATAGTGCTACCTGTATCAATACTCTTCAAAAACTCCTAAACCCCCATATCAGAGACACCGGAAAGAGGAACAGAAAGCGAAAAAACTGGCAATTATGGACAAGATGTATCGACCTAATACATAAGAAGCAGATCACAGTTCAGATGACCAAGGTCAAGGCACACAGCAAAGATAAAGTCAACAACAGGGTGGATCTTCTTGCAAAAGAAGCTAAAGAAGAACCAGAAATTATGTGGACTAATTGGTACAAACAAGAAGCCTTGACAATACTTTGTTGGAGTGGAATCCCCATCGATATAGGAATTAGAGACTTTATTAAAGAAATACACAAAAGAGACATATTAATGAAATGGGCTAACCAGAACCGCATACGTAAAAGATGGTGTAGTGAAATAGACAATCAAAAGAATCACGACTGGAGAAGTTTCTGGGAAATGAATAGAGTAGGAGGATCCCTGGAGACATCAATGAAGCAAGTTAAAGAAAAAGTCTTCCGTATAAAGATGATGCACAACGAGCTACCAACACTGGATAACATGAGCAAGAGATTTCCTGAGAAGTACAAAGACCTGACAGAATACATTTATTGCAGACAAGAAAAAGAATCGCTCATGCATCTCCTCTCCTGTATACACATAACCAAACTTCGGGAAGAAATATGGAACGAAACTTCAGACCAGGTACTTAGCAGGTGGCTAAAAGAAGTGTACAAAAAAGAGACCCAGAATAAGCACGACGCCCTCTCAGAACTCTTGCAGAATGGTACAAGAACAAGTTCTCCTCAGGAAAAGATATAATAGACCTCTGTCTAGGATTGTTCCAGAAAGAGGATATCACAGAATGGACTCAATCACTAAGGGAAATGGAAATAAAAGTGGAGAAAGCAAGATATCTGCTGAATAAGTTTTCTAGAACCATCTGTAAGAAAGTCCGGAAAAAGATATGGAATGATTGGTGCACCAGATTACAAAACTCGGGAAGGAAACCGAAAATGCATAGACGAGGAAATAGAGACGACGGCTGGATAAGAAAAGAAAGGAAGAAGAATCCGAATGGCAAAAGAAAAGAACTACAAGAAGAGACGATGAACACGATCCCTGGAACCTCACAAGACACAAACAAAAAAGAACCTACTCCAGACTATACATGTGATGTAAATTATTTTGCTGTTGACTCAATTGCCAAAATCCTTAAAAATAATTGCGTCTGACTCAATTATTTTATATGTTTTAATAGTGACTCAATTAATTGCGTCAAATAATTGCGTCAATTGTGTCAAGGATCTACCTATTTTTATCACATGTATACTCTGGTCTTTCTGATGATTACAGATTGAAAACAGGTTAAAGTAGGAAAGGTTATATGAGATAAGACTTCTGATCTAACTCTGATATAAATCTATAACTTCAACTGGCACAGCAGTCTCTATAGTATAAAGAATACTTTAGCCTAGGACTATTTCAATCCAGTGCTTGCTTAAAAAAAGAGGACCCGATAAAAAGAGAAATCTGAAACTGCAGGTGGTAATAAAGAGTATAGTACTTTCTCCAAAGAACTAGGCGAAAAGTATTGAATGGGTTATCTGGATATTTTAATTAATCCTGAAAGGTATATGCTCTTTAACAGCGAACAACCACAAGATTACCAAATATGGACTTAGCAGATTAAGCAAATTTAAACTAATGATAGGATTTCCCACCCCTTGAATTTGTCCCACCTAACATATAGATCCATTCAAGCAATGGATCAGTACGTATAGTTGGGTTAAATGTAATGTAATAGGTAGGATTAACTTCCATAAATGAGTGGTATAGGATTTATAATGTAATAACCATAAATTAAAGTTTAATAAATATCTTGTATTTAATATCTATTCACATTTAAAAAAAAAAAATTATTATATGAATTTTTTAATAATTAATTAATAATTTTATAAATTTTTTATAATTAAAAATAAAATTGTTTTAAATAATTTTTTATTAAATTTTATCAAAAAACAAATAGTTTAATATTAAATTAAAAAATTTTTATTAATACAAAAATTATAAAAAATTATTTAAATGTTTTGTTTATTTTTATTTAATTAATTTATATATTAAAATATTTAAATAATTGATATTATCATTTTTTTTATAATTGAAAAAAAATTTTAAATTTTAAATTTTTTTTTATTTTTAATTATAATTTAATTATATTATTTTAATATATTTAAAAAACTTTTTTATATATTTTTATTCTTTATATCTTCAAATATGCATATGTTTATTTTTATTTTAATTAATTAATTGATTATTAAATTATTAATATAATATAAGTTTTGATTTTTTTCAATTATTCTTGTTCTACAATATACTGTATATATATATAATTAATTAATTAATATTTTTACATAAAATTATTGAATAATTATTAATATAATATCAATGCTATTTTATGATATAATAAAAAAATCATTTTATAATAAATAATTTAAAATTAAACTATAAAAAAAATATTTATAAAAATATTTCAAAAGTTTTTATAGTTAATTAATTTCTATATCAAAATGGTTTTAACAATTGGTTATTATTATTTTTTTTTTGTAATTAACATAAAATAGGAATTTTTTTAATTGGTTATCTTTTTTTATATAACTATTTTCCCGCTAGACAGTTAAAGGCTTGTAGGTCACATGACTCATTCGGCTGTTGATCTACGTGAGACTATTTATTTTTGTCAACAAAAGCAAAACGTCGAGGTCCGACTTTCATGCTTTGTAAAACCATTCGCATAAAATTACAAAAACTTCTCTAGAGTATATAACGATGCCACGTATCTGTACAAGAAGTTGGGAACCAAATGTCAAAAGTGAGGAGGTTATTCCCATTCCTGAAGGTTTTGGTCCTTACATTATTGGATCTCGAGGATATAATATTAAGAAAATTACGTAATTATATTTTCCGAGAAATTTTTTTTGTGGTGATTACCGAACAATTTAATTAAGTTCATTTTGATAGAGAAATGTCTGGTGCAATAATTTATGTTGCACTGAACACGATCCCTCCATCAATAAAAATCTATGGTACTCCTCGGAAACGTTTCGATGCGAAACTTCTTATCGATGAAACAATTTCCAAAGCTAAGGCCAAGCCATTTGTTGAGTTCAGTTTGTTGGAAATTGATAGCATCGATAAATTCTTTGATATACAATATATATATACTGAATTTAAAGATGAAAATATTACAGATCGACCCCACAATAATTCAGAACTGAGAGAATACAAACAATATTTTCTTAAAAGACACACTCGTGGAAAAGAGATGAATAGAGAAGAACATAGCATAAAATCAAAGCCTATAATAAGATCTGATGGACTTGGTACCGTTGATAGATTTGAAGAGTGTCTCAAAAGAATTTTCACACAACTTGGAAATCCTAATGCAAAGTCCAACATGCCTGAAAAATCTAATTTAAAACGAATTCAACTTCGTATATTTTTTGGTCGTCAAACGTTTCTTGAACCAGATTTGAGAAGGGGATTTATTAGTGTGAACGAGCTTCTTGGAAAAAAAGTTACGGATAGCTGGGGTGACTTTGAAACATGGAGAACTTGTGGGACTAGAAGGAGAACAGCGATTGGTACTTTAAGAAGAACTGTAAGATATAGTACGTCAAAGATGATTAAGACGTCATTTATTCCTATTCCACAAATTTGGAAAAATATTGAAGCAATTCATGAGAGGTTTAAACTGAAGTTTGATAACGATGAGGATAAAAAGCGTATCAGTATACTTTACGTGGAGAATGGTCAGCTGAGTGAGATGAAGCTACATTGGAGTAAAGAAGATGGTAACCATTTTAAATAATAGTTTTTATTAAAAAAAATTATTGAAAAAAATTTGTAATAAATCAGGATCGTGGAAATTACATAAGGTTGCAAAAAATAGTAGGCGTCATGGTTAGTCGTGTTCTAATGCATTATTCAATTTTTGTCTACACTTACTTATTTCATACGTTATTTGTAGCGACTATTAACATAATAACAGGAACCAAAGTGCCCGATTTGCAATTCATGGTGAGGACCGAGTATGACGGGAATCCTGACCAAAAAATTAGCCAAATTATTGAAAACCTTCAAGTTGAAAGATCGATCGGTGACGGATTCAGATTGAGTGATTTCAATGGAAAACTTGACTGTCTTTGTATTAGACAAACAATTAATAAGGGCTGTTATAGGTACATATAATCAATTTAAAGTCTCAGTAGAGTTATTATTATTTAATTTATTTATTTCGCTGTTTTAACTTTGATTCATCATGACAAAGAAATGACAAATTCAAAATCACGAGATTCACGATCCAACAAGAATCCAGAGGAGAAGAACAGATCACTTTGGAGGACAATGTTTCAGTAAAAAACATATGTTGGCGGAAGGATTATGAAATAATGGGTGAAGTTTCCAAGAAATACTTGGATAAAGAGAAATTAGAGTCAATTAATGAGACTATTGAGTTTGCCAGAGAATTTTCGAAATCAATTTTTATAAAAGATGAATGAGAGAAACATCTTCAAATGGATTCAATATAAAATTTGATTGTATTATTATTCCAAACGTCTCATATTTTTCTTTGACTTACTTGTAGTATGAAATGTTCAAGTCAATGAATATTGAATTACAACTAAAATTAAAGGTTATGTAATAAATAATTTTTATTAATAATTATACTGTTTAAGTTATGCCTAACACTGATAACAAGGGATTAATCATTTAAATCTGTAAAAAAACAAATCTCTTCTAAATGCTTGAATGTTTATCTTTTAGGTCGTAATTATATACATACTTATAACTTTGAAGTTCGATCCATTGAATTGATTTAAAATTTATAATAAAGAAAACAAATATGAAATCAATTGTTGGCATTTAATCCTAGAATGTTCGAAATAATTTTTGTGCGGAAGTAGAATTTTTTTTTAAACTGGAAAACTCTTGGAATTTTGATGTATCGACTTATTGACGCATATGATAAAGTACGAATGTATTTATTTGAATGTTGTATCTCGAGTATTAACGGAGAAATAATAATAATAATAATACGACTTTATAATTAAAAATACCTTTAATTTTGAATATAAGGTTGGAATTTCACGAATCGACTTTTATACAGTAATACATTTTGGATAAATACAAATGCAATATCAACCCTAAAGTTCTTTTGATATGTATTAGAGAAGAAGTTATTTCGCATGCCACGTTCATAGCGATCCAAAGCAGAATCCTGTCTATTTTTTTGATTCAGAAATTTCTTTATATCTATCATTTCTTCTTGCCATTGAAACAAATAACCGTTTCCGTTCATCTATGTAAATCATCATGCGAAGGCAGATAGATTGTGTCTCCATTTTCAATACTTGATTAATTAAATTTGCATACATGCTTGCATGAAGGAATGCCTGGCTGTTTTAAATTCTTGTCCCAGATGTTCTCCGAGGTTTTATTACTCCTATACTTGCTCCCAACAGAACTTTCTTCTGATACCTTGACAACCACTCTGACTAAAACCATAGGAAATTGCGGCATGAGCCTCAACAATATTACTGGATACTCACAAATCTCACTTGGAAACAAGTCACTACATGCTCGATGAAAGATTGCCTTTCTGGCGAACATTGTATAGAGAACCCTCCCTAAATGCACTTCCCTGAGATCAAATGCTTTAAAGTAAAAAAATATATATTTTATAATTTTTATAAAATACAGTATACAGTGTGGGACAAAAATAATTGGAAAAAATCAAAACTCATATTTTTATTAATAATGTAAATCAAAACTCATATTTTTATTAATAATTTAAATAAAAATAAACATGTGTTTATTTGGAGATATAAAGAATAGAAATATATAAAAAGTTTTTTAAATACAGTATATTAAAATAATACAATTAAATTATAATTAAAAAGATATATCAATTTAAAATTTAAAATTTTTTTGTCAATTACAAAAAAAAACAATAATATCAATTATTAAAATTATTTTAATATATAAATTAATTAAATCTAGATTAATAAAATTTTAAAATAGGTTTATTATAATTTTTATATTAATAAAAAAATTTTTTTTTTTTTAACCTAATATTAAGCTACTTACTTTTTATATTAATTTAATAAATAATAAATAAATAATAAATATTGTATATATAATCTGTGGATTAATAATATAATGGATAGTGCTTCAGGTTTTCAAATATACAGAGGGGTCGCATAAAATTAAGCCAATAATCATAAATTTTATATTACTATTATTTTTAAAATTATTTATTGCTATTAAAAATGTGTCTACGTCATGCTGCGTATTAATAAAACACATTTGTTTTGATCTGATTCTACTATTTAAATAAAAAAAAATTTTAATTTTTAACACATACATATCAATAGGATGTAAAAATAATCTTACGGAAGGTGAATGCCATACAGTAGAAATGCTAAAAAAAGAAGGCATGTCTGCTGCTAAAATCGTGCGAATTATTGAAAGGTCTGATACTGCCATTAAACACTGCCTTAAACGGTTAAAATCAACAAATAATTCTGGCTATCTGCAAAAAAAGAATAGTGGTAGAAAATCAATGATAACTGATTGATTCGAATGATTTATCTTACGAAAAATTAAGACAAATCCAGAACTGAGAAGAATATCAAAACACATACTAGTTGCCAAATTTCCATCCAATCCTATTTCTTATTATACTTTAGCTAGAATTTTAAAAAAAAATAATATCCGTTCCCACATTGCACGTAAAAAACCATTTATTAGTGAAAAAAATAGAATTAAATGATTAAATTGAACAAAATCTCATGAAAATTGGACAAAAGAGGATTGGAGAAATGTTCTTTGAACTGATGAATCCTCTATTAGTACAGACTCTTATAGAAAAGTCTATATTTGGTGTCATAAGGATGAACTTTATGATTCAAGTTGCATGCAAGCAACTACCAAAAGTGGATGCCAATCAATAATAGTGTGGGAATACATAAATGGATACAATTTGCACCATTTGATTTGAATTTTATCTCATATGAATGGCACAGAATACAGGGATCTTGTTTTGGATACTATTTATCCAATAAATTTGGTTACAGAAGGAGGAATATTACAAGAAGATAATGCACCAATTTACAAGTATAAACTTGTGAAAAAAATCAAATCTGAGCTTGAAATTACAACCATGGAATGGCCACCACAATCGCCAGACCTTAATCCAATTGAAAATGTG